TTTTTTTCAGGTCTGATTTTCACTATTGCTCAAATAGTGCTTTACTGCGAAGGATCGTGCATATATACGTTTCATAACCGCAGTTCATACATATGTTTCATATGTTTGTTGTTGTATGACTCAAACATTACATGATCTCCCGTGGCCAGCTAGTTAAATGTTCTGGTGTAGTTTTCACGCCTTGTTTCGATGGATCATTATTTTATTTGATGAACATGAAGTAAAATGGCATAAATACACACACAGGGAGCCAAATCCGATACCAAAGGAGCAACTAACAAAACGGATAAGTATTAACTTTAGAATCTTTTGCCAGTGTAGAAGATAAATGTTTTAGTATTGATTTCATGGACTAAGCGGTTAGAAATTCCTAAATTCTCGATGCTTTTGTAAAATTTTTCATAAATTGTCAATACCATTACCACTATCTAATCCTCTTTCACAAGAAGTGGAGAGAATTCGTTGCTCCGAAGCTCGATTGAAAAACTCTAGCCGCAATTTGAAGATATCCTTGTATGCTTTTTTCATATTTTCCAATTCTCGATTTATCTAAGGAGAGAGAACTTATAAACTATCTACAATTTCTAGTATTGGTATCTCCCTTTATCTTACACAGACGGCACTATCAAGGCAAAGTAGAAATCATGCAGCTTTTGCTTTGCCTTGCCATACTTGCTGCTGTAACGATTGCACAGGCAATCCAAAATTCCCTGAAGGTCTTCACTTTGTTGGTGTTGGTTATAATCTTCTAGAAGGGAACCCTGAGGGGGGTGATGTATCAAACGGCAGTGTTGAACCTGGACTTCTCTCCACCAGAAAAGTCTTCAAGCTGACGTGGAACGAAAACAAAGTAACCCTTGACAAGAAGTATGTTGTACCATATCATGTCAGCTTCGCACCACGTCAGTCTTGCGTAAAAACAAATAAGAAGGAGGTCTTTTCAGGATCCAAAAGCTACCGAGAAAAACTAAGTGTAGATGTACAATCCAGCGGTAAGGAGCTAGGAAGAGGACACTATTCTTCCACTATCAGTTCAGCAGCTCTATTTGTGTTCTATTTCTTAACGCAAACATCGTGCATTAAAATCGCTGAATCCTTTTTCATTCTGCAGGGGGTTACAATGCAATATTATGAAACGTTGCCTTTTCTCTAAGTTTAAGTAAAGAAAATGATTGTATATCTTTTTCAAATTCTTAAAAACTTGTGTCATGAGCAGGTTAATCAGCTCTTAATATGTATATAGTCCTTTTAAAGGCAAGATTAGACAAGAAGTCAAATCCCTTGTGACAACTTAAGCAGTGAGCCCCTGTAGGTCAATTTTCATTCATTAGCACCACTTTCCTGACATATCTGATTAAAACAAAGTCAGGATTTAGACTTATTTATATAGGTAATCACATAATTTCGAGTGCAATTTGGAATAAATGAGCACGAGTAAATTTTTTCAAAGACTAACAAAATTGCATGAGCCCGTAGGGCGAGTGCAATTTGTGGTCTTTGAAAAAATTTACTCGTGCTTATTTATTCCAAATTGTACGAGAAAATCATGTGATTATGTATTAATAATATAAACGAAAAAATACAAGGTAGCTTCTCACAACTACGCAAAAGAAAAGCGCGCGCATCACGGGCAAAAATAATTTATTCAAATCCTGCAAGTGACATTGACCTTGACATTGACCAATCATTCTGACCAATCAGAATGTCTGGTCTGTTTCTTTCTTTGCACTGAATTAACCCTCTTCTGCACTGAATTAACTCTCTTATGCACTGAATTAACTGAAAACGGCATTCATCTTAACTAATCAGGACTGAGAAATATTTTCATGTATATTATTATATCTGGAAGAAAACCGCTCTTTGAAAAGTTGTAGTGCAAAAGCAAGGCTCTTATCAGAGAAGAAGCTGTACAAATTTGTCTACAACGGAAGGGGGCCAATCAGAGAGTTGGTTGTCAGATGAAATTGTGTTTTCTGCTTTCTTCCCAATCAGGATATGGGCAGGTGAAGAAAAAAACATCAAAATACCACAATGTGTTTTTTGAAGAGAAGCATGTATGTAACCGTGGCCGAGCCCAATACCAAATGGACTTGGCTCGAGTCAAGAGGTATTCTGCGTCGGAGGACAA